CCCTGCGGGTGTTGGCGGCTCCCAAAAAAACAACAGGGTGCCCCAAATGCTCCTTCGCTCTTTCCTCCCCGCCTTCCACGCTGCCCCTGCAAAGCAGTTGGGTAACGTGCCTGCTCGGAAACACCACCCGCAGGACGAGCCCCCGAGCGGATCGAGGGACAGCAGCCCCTAAAACTCCCTTGGGACAACGTGCCCTTTCACGGTAACTGCTTTGGGGGAGGTGACAGCGGCGGAGGGATCGGCAGGACCCAAAAGAGACCCTCAGCCACGCTGGTCTCTGTGAGCAAGGGGTTCCCGTCCCAGCTTTAATGCCGACAGCGCCGTGTGTCCGCCTGCGGAACAGAACCGCTCGTGCCCAGAACAACTGTGCTACGGCTCTGCGAGACGGCACTGTAAGACTTCTGACCGCGAGACCGGGCACTTCCAGTCGGGTTCCATCTCTCATTTTCCTCAAAACACACCATTTCAAACGACACATCCTTTCAGCTTCCAGACAACACGGAGAGCCAACCGACGGGGGGAAAAAGGGAGATCCCCACGTGCGCTTCCCCCAGTACCGGGGGGTACCAGTGCCACGCCGCCTCCCAAACTGGCAGCGCGGCTTTGTGCGTGGGTAAACGGCAGCGGGGGAGCACGACGCTGCGCCTCGACCCGATCTGGACACGACCCGGCCTCTTTTTGGCTTCTTGTGACACGCACGCCCGCTCCCTGCGCCGCGTTTCGGCTGCGGCCGCAGACGGCGGTCAGGGTCTCACCTCGGTCCCGCGGACATGACCGGGCAGCTCGCCTCCGTGCAGAACTCCGTGATGGTCCCGTACAGCATGTTGATTTGGTTGAAGAAATCCACGGCTGGCAAGGAAACACGCCGAGTTTAGGCAAGGCGCAAAGGGGACCGGAGCAGCGGGCACGCTCTCGCGGAGCTCCAAGGATCCCCATCGCGCCGGGGGTGGGGGGTAACTGGCAGCAAAACCAACCACCCCCCTTCCCTGCGACGTCTCGAAGTTGTCAGCCACGAGACGTTTCAATCCTCTAGGAATTTGGGTCGCTCTGGCTGTTTTTCACCAGCTGGCTGCTGCCCCAAACCGATTTGCAGGGCACAAAGCTCCGCTTAGCCCGCCGCACCTCGGGCGTGCCTCCTTTGGGTTCCAGGCGCCTTCAGAGAATGACAGCACCTCAAAAACCCGACTGATTTTGGGAGTACAGGAGAGACCTTCCTTCAGTTGAACGCTTGTGGCCTGACTTACTGTTTTCCATTGCTCAAAGCTACTTTTTCCCCCTCTGCCCTCAAGTTCGAGGCCCAGGGGAGCAACTGCTAAAAGCAAAAGAAACTCGTAGCATTTGGCAGCAATAATAAAGTGAAGAAAACCAAAAAAAGAAACTCCACGGAGCTCAGGGAAGAACGCAGTTCTGCCTTTTCCCCGGACTACTCTCCGTCACCCTTTTCTCAGCGGCGACGCCAACGTTGTTGTTCCAAATCCTGAGACTCGAGGCCAAATCCCGAGTGCAAAAATAACCGTTCGCAAACCTCGTCGCCTCTGCAAGTCTGAGCTCAGAAAACCCCCACCCCAAAACCACAGCGGTGCGGGTTCGTTTCTTGCTTTTTTTTTTTTGCACGTTTCCGGAGCGCATCGCCCCGTGTCTGCACATCACGCCGCTCGCTCGCCTCTTCCCCCCGCCCGGTCACCTCCGCAGAGAGCGCCTGCGGGATGAATTTCGTTTGGGGAAGTTCTAGGTGCTTCTAGGGATAAAAACTGGAGATGTTTGGTTCTCCCACTCTGCCTGCAGGCTCGGGCAGATCCCTCCTTCGCAGGACTTACTGTTAACTGCGATCCACTCGTTAAGGTCCTCCCCCTCCGGCAACATGACGGCCTGTCTGAGGTTACCGCTCCCCAGCGTCGCTTCTGCATGTTTCAGGAGTTCGTACTGGTGGGAGCCTTCGGGAATGTTCTTCTTGGGTTTGAAGGTTTTCGAAGATCGACTCCCGCTGAGGAGAGAGGAGACATTTCCAGTCAGTCCTTCAACGGCTTTCCCCTCCCCACCCCACACTTTTAACCGGGGTGACGCCGGCCCTTCCCCACCATCCGGGCAAACAGATCCTACGTGCAAGCCGGAGCGTTGCTGACGGCGCCGCAGCAGAGCCGCCCGCACGCTTCCCTCTTTCACAAATAAAAACCCCAACCCCAGCCCTCGCAGACGTCCTGTGCAGAGGCCCACAGGCTCCTCAAGCACCGGTTGCCTTCGCTCGCGGAAGGAAAAGCCCACGTCGCTCCGACGGGGAAGGCAACGACCCGCCGACTGCCGCGGGGTCAGGTTGATGGCAGCGAGTGTTAAGACACGCGACCGCACCGTAGGAAAGGGCCCGCTAAAATTAGCGACTTTTAACAGCCTCCAGCCCCGAAATGCAAATCGATGCCTTCCCTCGCTGTGCCGTACCCACAGCGGGGCTCAGCAGCTCCTCGCCCAGCTCGTCCTTCCAACAGGGCTCGCCCCAAACAGCTGCCAAAAACTGGGTGAATTTCGGTACCTCTCAACCACAAAACGTTAACTTTCAGACCCCGCCGGCCCTCTGCTTCCGAGCGAGGGTGAGACGGGACGGCCGGGGCCAAAGCACGGCTTGGAGGGGGGAAAGAGGCTTCTCCGGCGCCCTGCCCCGTTGCACACACCCGGACGTGTTCGGCTGGCGTGGTGATAAGAGACCTTTCGACCCAGCTCGCTCCGAAACCGAGCCGCTGCCCCCTGCGACAGCCGAGACCCAGGCCCGGCACGTCGCTGACCCGATGCCGAGGGTACCAAAAAGCAGACCCAGCCCTAAAAAGCGGCTCCCCAGCCCCTCCTTACGCCACAAAAAGCCTCCAGTCCTCACCCAAAGCACCCAGCGGGCCTGCAGAGCCAGAAGCCCCTCTCACGCTTCACAAGCCTTCGCACCTACGACGCAGGTAGGCGACAGCCCACCCCGCTGCGGCTCGTTAAAGGTGCGTTTTCTACACCGCACGTGGCTCCCAAATTAACAGCGTTCCCCCTGCAGCCAGGCCTGCCCCGCTGACAGACCCTCCCACAGACACCAGCCAGCACCAACACCCTTCGCACTGCGCTGCCGCTCACCCACAGAGGTAGGATAAGGCCCACCCAGGTGGAAGCCCCGCACCCCCAACACGAAGGTCTCCTCTTTTCCACCTCACCCCGCACCCCCAAAGCCCCCTCCCAACTCCCAAGGTCTCCCACGAAGGCAGAGCATCCCTACAGCCACCTCCCAGCCCCTCGGGACCTCGCCCAAATTCCCTGGAAGACCAACCCTTCAAATTCTCCCTAGCTGAGAGAGATTAATCCTCATAAAACAACCCCTCCCCAGAGCCTTCCCACTAAGGCTGACCCCCAAAAGGCTGCCCATCCCCCTTATACACCCCCAGAACTCCCCTCCCCATCCCAGCCTGGGACCCCAGCCCCGCAGGGCACCCTCTCTCCACCCCGCCTTCCTCCAAAGCTTCCTCCCCCTCAAAAAAAAAACCACTACACCCCCAAGGCTTCCTCCCACAGGACTCCTCCCCGTGTCCCTCCAGGGCCTCCTCCCAAAGTCTTCCTCGGCCCTTCCTCGTGCATCCCCCGGGACTCTGCTCGAGGCTTTCCTCCCTCCAGACGCACCCGGGCCTCCTCCTGAAGCCCCCCGTGAGCCCCCAGGGCCTCTGCCTAAAGCCACCCAGGGCTTCCCCCTACAACTCCCCTGAAGAGCCCTCCCGGGCCTCACCGCAAGGCCCTCCTCGGCTGCGGGGCACCGCTGGGGCCTCCTTCCCCCCCTCCCAAAAAA